ATTTATAACAGAAGTTCAATCTGCCCAAGCAAGCAAAAGTGCATCTGCAATGCAGCCCCAGATCCTTGAGACTGTTTGCCTACAGGATGGGTTTCCAGCTCCTGGGTTCTGTGTGCTTCCCCAAATTATTCCTTCCCTCCTCTGAGCCAGCAGCACCGTGCAGCCTCTGGTGAAGCATCCATCATTTGTGTGGGTTTAAGTCTAACCCTTTCTCCTAAAGCTGTGCAGACAGTGCTGTGCTCTCTTCCTGCTGATCCTTTTCTGCACATTAATCCCACCTGGCTGCCCCTGACTCATTCTCTATTCTGGTTACTCTTATAGTGATGTGCTATCCACACACTGCTCATTTATTACATAGGGTCCGACTCAGAAATCTGATCTAAGTGAAGCAGCAAGCAAGCCTTTGCGCATCATTCTCCCACCACCCATCTTCTCTGCCCCTAACCCTTCATCTCAGGCAAAGCTGAGAGCAAGCTGGGGTATGGGGTGAAAAGCTGAGGAACCCTACCCCGATGGGAGTGTTTCCCTGGGAACAAGCCAGGTTTCCAGCACTGACCCATCCAGATCACCAGCTTGGCTCTGCTCAGACCCTCTCCAGGCTCCATGGGGCTTCATGCGTGGGGCTCCATGCATGGGGCTGCAACAGCCTGGCAGGGCCAGAAACTGCTGCAGAGATACAGCTGCACATGAGCATCCCACCCTGCTCTGCTCTGCATGGTGGCAGGAGCCACACTTGGGTTTGAAGAGAGCTATCATCCACCTAAACAAGACCCAGAAGGCCCTCCCGTGACTTTCTCAGCCAAAGAATGCCACTGACCATTCAGATGGCTCTCGGGCTTTAAGATAATACACTTTTATATATATATATATATACTGGGAGCTGTTTGACCACAGGAGTCTCATTCATATGCACATCGCACCGATAAGTGAAAAAAGTGCAACACTGGGCCCAGAAGCAGCTTATCCCCATCTACAGCAGCCAGACCACGTCAGAGAGGGCCGAGCAGACCCATGCTCAGACGTGGTCCGAGGGCAGAGCATGCCAGGCCAGTGATGCAGGCACTCGATGCTGCCGTGTCTGGACGGCACGTGGCTGTTTGGGTTTTGTTGGTGATTCAACCACCTACAGCAGCTGAGTGTCTGCCTTGGGCTCCAGTGCAGAGTGTAGCAAGTGCTCTACCAGCAAGACCCTTGCCTGATCCAAAAAGGCACAATTCAGCTCCACGACACGTCTATGACTGTATAGAGAGACACTGATTTCCCTTTATAACAGTCTCTGGAGTGCATGCAGTACTCGTTCACGCAATGGGAGCATGGAGACTTCCACTTCTTCCCCCCTCCACTCATGGCCTTTCCTTCAGCTCTAACTACCGACAGCGGAGTTAGCGGCACCCACGGAACTCCAGATTCTTCTGGCAAACTTGGTTTGCGCCTGCTTCTTATCTCTTCTTCTTCCAAATGTTCTTCTTCCAAGGCAAAACTGCTGGTGGAGCACTCCGCTGAGCACGGTGCTGCTGCTTGCCAAACTGCAGGCGGGAGACAGCAAGGTCCCTGCAACCAAGAGACACAAAATGTTCACTCACCAATCCATTTTCCTACTCAGCAATAGCCTATACTACATCATTTGCCTACTGGCAATAGCTTATGTTATGCCATTTACCAACCAGTCACCACTTCGGGTCGTGTTTTGTTATTGGGCTGTTTGTTATTAGTGCTATTTTTGGTGTCTTGGGTTTGGTCGTTGGCTTTTGGGTTTGTGTTTTGGTTTTGTTTTGTTGTAGTTTTCTTTTTCGAGGCAGAAGAAGGGATGGAAGAGTAGAAATCCCTAGCTGCAGCTGTAATAAGTTGCAGCACCGATCCACCTGTTCGGGATGATACAACTGATGCTTCCCCACATCTGTCTTTCAGAAATTCTTCCCCTTGGATCTGATATAACTGCCACTAATTGACCAATTCTTTCTCAATTTGCAGGCACCTTTTGGCTTATTTAGATTTCTGGAAGCTCTTCCAGCACTGTTCAGTGATGGGATGTTAGAAGAGATATCTCTTTTAATCCAAGCTGCCCTCCAGTCTATCCTTTTCCTATGGGACAACATCTCCTTCCTTCTTACACATCACCCTTTTGCCCATCCCATATCAGAGGAACTTCCCCACTAAAAATTACATTATGTAATGTTGCTTTAGTGCTGGAAAACCCCTGGTTCCCTCAGCTGTTAGCTTTCAGTTCAACACAGCAGAAATTTCTCAGTTGAGTTATTAAAAGGGGGGAAGCCAGCAACACAAGCAGCAACTACTGAGGTCACAACCCCAAATTTTTAAATTGCTTACAAGGGAAGTTCACATCAAATCACAAAATCATAGAGGTTGGAAGGGGCCTCTGGAGATCATCAAGTCCAACCCCAAGTTCAGAGTGGGTTTCAGTGGCACACTCACCTGAGGGCTCTCAACAGGCTGTGCTGGAAAGGCTTCACATCACCGCTCTGTGGAGCCTTTGACGATGCTCCAGAGCTCATTGGGAGCCTCAGGCTCTGGAGGTACCTGATGAGCAAGGAGAGGTGCATGAGCCACCTGCATGCAGGCACCAGGGGAACGCTGCTCTAACATCACTGGGGGCAGACTAAGTTCAGTGCATGATTCAAAGGGTTAATTGTAGCTGTTTGAGAGTTATCTAAGCCTCATTTCTACAGCTGTCCTCTTGCCTCGCTCAATTCATAGTCAATTTAATGATGGGAGGTTTTGACTATTGCTTTGATAAGACTAATGACATCTGTACAATAACTTCGCCCTTGATCTCCCCACAATGCACACAGTCCTCTATACCTCTGGCTAAAGCGAGACAACAGAGTGCCCTACATAAGCTCCCAGCACGCGGGAGATGCCAGCACCCCAAAGCAACCCTACAGCCTCCACTCCCCTCTCCCTGAAGCACTCAGAGGAGCATCCCCAGCCCTTCCAGCTCACCTGGGCTCCTCCTGGCAGAAGCTGGCACAGATGCTGTCTCCGGAGCGTGAGCACTTGCACCTGCCAGGCGACCTCTTGCGCCGTCGTGGCGGGCTGCCCAGGCCATAGGGAGCAGTTTGCCTGTTGGAAAGAGGAGAAATCAGCGCTGCTGCTCGCTTGTTATCAGCCAGCAGGTTTATAACACAGCCTTGGGAGGCAGCCAAGCCAGTGCCATGATAATAAAAGACTCATCTATAGACATAAGGTGAAAAGGCCACCGATAATTCCAAGCCTTTAAACTCCAGCTCCTCTCCCACCTACTGTTTACTCTGCCCCTCCCAGGGAGATGGCCGTGCCAGCCCTCCCAGTCGCATTTTCTCTCCTTGCACCCATGCAAGGGCTGCTGCACGGGCTGGGCTCACCAGCCACCAGCACATGGAATGTGCAATGCATAGGACATAGTACAAATCGCAGCCATTGTAATGCATGGGACATAGTACGGATGAAGACATCTCAGGGCCATAACAGGTCCTCCTGATCACAGCATGCTTCCCCAGCTCTTAGCGTGTGCACATTCCTGCTCCATCTCTGATCACAATCTCTCCTCCCAGAGGGTTTAGGATTGGCAGTGATTGAAACTATGCTCCGAGCAAGCAGCGAGTTGTAATTGCACGTTAGTGAGCATGATTTTAACCACACCTGAGTACATGTGTTTTGCTACAGAGCGATGGCCATTGGTCTGAAACTGCACGGAGAGCTGCTTTAGCATTCTTGAGGGCAGGACTTGGCAGCCACGGGACGTTAGTGCCAACCCACCACTGTCTCATTAACAATGCTGGCAGCCAGCAGGCAGTTACAGTTTGCAAGAGGGTAATGTAACTTATCTGGCTTGCAGCTATAACATCTTGCTATTGCTTTTGTCTTGCAGAGGTACAAATCTCAAATAAAGATAAATGGTGGGGAGGCAGCACCCTGAGCTTTCATCCCATTCCCCTTGGGTTATACTGGAACCCCCGAGCATAGCACAGCCTGTATTCTAGCAGCTGCAAAGGTCTGAACTCTCAGTGCCCTGTGGTGCAGGTGCTGCGTGAACCTCCTTTCTCACCTCCATCTAACTGCCCCCCATCCTGGATAAGGATAAGGAAGGCAACGACAAATCCACAGAACCACCCCCCAAAAAAACCCACGCTCACCCAGGTGTGTTGACCCAGATGATATCCAGGTGACAGAAGTAGATGCACTCCTTATCCAGCCAGCTGTTGCAGGAGCACCGCTTGGCTCTCAGGTGCGCGGCCGCGCCGAGGTGGGACTGCAGGGGAGGCTGCCCCATACCTGCAGCAGAAGGAGAAGGGATGAGTTGCAGGTTGGATTCGGAGCACCGGCGCACATTCCGGCGGGCGCTGCGGTGATTCCAGAGCACAGAGGTGCAGCCTGGCACAACCCGGCAGAAACTGCCCCGCAGTGCCCCCCGCTCCCAACCCCCTGCTGCATCCGGGACCCCTAAAGTCCCGGGGCTCACCGTCTTCCAGGAGGACGCAGAGGGCGAGCGCCAGCAGCGCAGCACCGGCAGGATGGCTGGGCATGGCCGCGGAGAGAGCTGGAAGGTTTCGATTTTGGGAGTTTGCCTTTTTTTTTCTGTGATTCTTTTTCCCCCTTCTATTTTTTTTTCCCCCCCTTCCTCTCTTCTCCGTGCACCGTTTCAGCCGGAGCCGCAGCGATGATCTGGAGGCAGCGGGCCCCTGGCAGGTGCTTTATAGCCCCGCTCCGCCGCGTCACGGCCACGCTCCGCCCAGCAGCGTGGAGCCCCGCAGGGGAAACATCGGGACTCGGGCACGCGTGGAGGGGAAGGGGGAGAAGGAGGCGGCATCCCGTGGGTCCGCCCCACTGCGGGGAGGCACCGTCCTGCAGCTCGGCTCCGGCCTCAAGCTTCAAACACGCGTGTGGTTCCATTCCCGCATGGGGATGTGCGGGGAGAAATTCCCCCGCCAGGGATGCTCGGAGCGTGGGGCAGCGAGGAACGCTGCTGTGCGTGTGTGAAACTGGGTTGGTTTCCCGTAGGGATTGGTGGGGATGAGTCCCGAGTTGGGATGGATCCCACGCGTGCTGCAGGTGGAGGCAGAAGCAGTTTGCAGGCGCTGCCGGCAGATGGAGCGGGAGCGGTGCCCGCAGAACGGCCCCGTACTGCCCTCCCATCCCACGCAATGGGGCTGCCCGCGGGCCCCGCAGCTTCCCCGTAGACTGACCCCAGCCTGCCGCAGCCCTTCAGGCACAAGAGATTAAAATAGCCCCCCAAAAGAATAATAAACAACTGGGAAACTGCCCTCGGAGGAACCCCCGGGGGGCATCGCGTGGGCCAGAAGCAGCTCTTGGCTCGGCACGGCCCTTGGGAATGGCGTGGGATTGGGACCTGCAAAAGCAGGTCAAGAGGCAAAAAAACACGGACACAAACTGCTCCTGCACTTGACTTTCTCAAGGCTCCTTAGGAAAGGGAGTGTGTTCTCATCTGTTTATGACGAGCTGTTTTACAGTGTTTTTATTGCGCGGGAAAGGATTTATTATGGGGAAAGGATGCGAGGTGGTGTGTGTTAATGTGATTCGGTGTGAGGTCCTATGCAAAGTGTGGAGCACAGCGGAGGAGTGGGAAGAGAAACAAGAAAAATGCAATGGGCCGGAGTGAGGAGAACTGATTTTATCTGAGTGATGAATTCTGCTGGCTGCATCTCGTGGAAGGAAAATGGGTTGGGATTGCATTCCTGCAATCATCCACACTGACCAAGCAGCAGGGTGAGTCCCTCTCTGTGTTCATGCAGTCATTGGGTGCAGGGGGAATCCCATGGTGAGACTGAAATAATAGGACCTGGGGAAATTGTTTCTCTGTTCACCAAACTGCTTTGGTTGTGATGGCACGTGCGAGAGCACAGGTAATGCAGAAAGCTCTGTTTACTGAGTGGGAATGAAGAGAGGGGACAGGAGGATGGGGAGGATGAAAAATACAGCTGGGGTTGCAGCTACAATATATAGAGGAAATGCTAAGCAGAGAAAATCAGAGATAGCGAAAACTATTTTAAAAAAAAATAAGAAGAAAACAGTGTTGTCATTGATAAAATAACGCTTCTGTGCGAGCAGCAAACAAGCAGAAGCAGGAGGGAAGTTTTTGACCTCTGTACCAATGCAGCAATCATTCTGAAGACAATAGGGAAATACAATAGCAGCATTACCTGTTACAGCCCATGCTCCAGCTTTGCCAAGTTACAGACTTATGTCTGAGCTGAGATACTGCATGTCATCCCAGATGCCAATCCAGTGATATAATTGAACTCTCGTGGCTCCAATTTCTACCATCCCCATTCTGGTCACTGCGGGATGAAAGGAGATATTTTCGACGTGGGGAAGGTAACGCAGCCGTTGTGCACACAGAGGAAAGGCTGGGGAGTGAATGACATCATTTGTTCTTGAAGGGGCACTTTCTTAGAAAGGGTGCTGCTGCCATTTAGGCAGTTCTTTGACTTTCAAGGGTACATTTACTGAAAGGACCAGGGAGAGAAGTGAGTTGTGTGAAGGTCTCCCATGCCTCTGGGAAGGGTGAACAGTCTCAAGTTAACCTGAGGGTTTGGAGATCTGCGTTCAAGCTGTTTCCCTTCCCAGGCTCCTTTTGTGGCCGCAGCTCTCTCAATTAGCTGACACTTCCAAAAAGCACCTGAAGCAACATGTAAATATCTGTTAAGGTCTTGTAGTTGTTGCTAGAAGAAGACAAGTGCTGGGTTATCTGTTGGGTATCTACCTTTAACACCAGCTGCAAAAATATCTTTACAAACCAGACCTTTCATCCAAGATCTCATTTGTTTTGTTCGTTTCTCATCAATCCCAAGAGTGATTTACACTGTTGGAGAAAATGGAGCAAATGTTACACCCTCTTGTTCATATATGCCTATTGAATGGAGTTTGAACTCATTTTTTTTTCCTCCAGGAAATACCCTGCTGCGTTGAGCAGGCACAAACCTGACCAGCATATGTGGGGATGTTTGGCACCAGTGCTTCAAAGGTCTGAGAGGATGTGGGGCTGTGGGTAAAGGTCTCCACCTGTGGCAGGGGTGTGGTAACACTGTGGAAGGGAGGTGGGATTGGGACTACATTGACCAGGACTGTTTGGAACAGAGCTCCCAGAGCTTTGCCCAGGGCTGCAGAATTTCTGTGTTAAAAACCAATGGTTTCTTATGGAGCAATTTGCCTGTAGGCTTGCAAAGAAGAACTTTCAGACATGGGGAAACAGCTGTTTCAGCATCGAGCATCCCTGCATGTTATTGCTTGGGCTTGCAACCATCGCTGTTCCAATAGCAGCTATTCATTTTAGCTTGAGTGTTCAATTCCCCTTTGCACTGAGAGGTTCTGCTTGGACCGAGAGCAGCGACCTCCTGGCCACAGAGACGCTGCACTGCTCCTGCTGTTCCCCTGATAAGGAGCAGGGGACACTGCTTCCTGCAGCCAGCACTGCTGGCATTATCACCACACTGAAATCTCTAAGAAAAACAACGGGCTCCAGCAGAGGGACGGGTCCGTGTTGCACAAACAAGGCTTCCAAAGAAGGAACAAAGGCTTACACGGGGTCCTGGATGCCAAAGATGGGCTTTGCCTCCTGCAGTTATTTTTTCCCTTTTGTTTCTGACTGTAGGAATACATTGTTCACTCTGCCGTAAAGAATTCCAGGCAGACATGACGAAAGGGACATTGCAGCTCAAGAAAAGAGACGTCCCGTGCAGCATTGATGAAACACTGTTTGGAAACCAGGAACGAGCAAACAGGAAAGCTCTTTAACCATTGAGGAGATGGGATCCCAGCGTGCTTTTGGCACTGGCGGGAACAATGGGGTGATGTCACGAGCCAGAATTCCCCACAGTGGATGGAAGCCCAGCAAATAATCATAATTCTTTTCTTGGTACATTAGTGACATTTTTCCACCGTTGGTCATCCCCCACTGAGTCCTGTTAGGAAGTATAGGAAGGAGACATTGTCAAATGGGGTTTCCTTTGGGAGAACCATGTCTCCTCCTCCCCATCAGCTGTTATAAATCACAGCTTTCTGCTGACTGCAAGAAATTCCAGCAGAGCAGCTCTTGCTGCCTAAGCAGTGCTTTACCCCATTAGGAAAGGTGCACAAGGAGGTCTGGATTCCTTTAGGGCAGAAGCATCATTTGCTGTCCAGCGCTTTCAGCCTACACAGCATCAGTACAGAACTTTGTCTTTATGGTTTCAGAAGTGCTGAGAATGGCAGGGAGCTTAGGAGACACCATCCTGCCCAAACATTGTGGTTTGGAGAGTTTCAGCCCGTGGAATGCTACCAAATTGTATGAGCAATGCTACAGCATCCTTCAAATCCTAACCTTACATTTTTATTTTGGCTTCAAACCCATGGAGAGTGACCTGAAGTGTACCTGAAGCACCTTGGTGTTTCAGTATTGGCAAACCCTCAATATTTGTTATTTCCATCACATGAGACCCCAGCATTTGGGGGACCCCATTCCTCCAGGACTCCCATATTTGGTGGCTTCATTTTTTGAATCCCAACATTTGGGACCTGCACATTTGGGAACGTGGACATTTTGGAAGTCACTCATTCGGCCTTCCAATATGGGTAACATCAGTGGTTGAGACCTTGATATTTAGGGGGATCCTCCTTTTTCTGAAGCAGCTCTGGAACTCCCCTGGCCTCTTTTTTTGGATAAAGGCTGGACTCATTACGTAACCGGGGTTGCTAATCCATCCTCCCAGGTGAAGACAGCATTAGAACATTATTGGGCTGTTACTCAAAATCCAAGCAGCTCCTACCTTTCCAAAATTTGCTCTGCAAGCACCTGGTTATACTCTGTGTGCAGCACACCAACTCCAGGCTGTGACTTTCTGTTGTTTTTGTTGTTTTTTTCTTTTGTATGAACATTGGTGTTAGTAGAAGGGAGGGGTAGAACCGCCTGTTTGAGTTGAGATGGGATTACTCATTCAACAGCAAAATGGACATTAATGGGTCTAAACCAAAAAGAAGCATTAAGATCTGAATGCCTGCATGGTTTACTGACAACAGATTTGTCCTTGTTCTATGTTTGTCTGTGGTTTGCATTATCAGCACCCAAATATAGCATGAGGGGTTGTTTACACCAGTCCCAATCTTGGTGTGTTTTCCCCAGCCTAGGAGATTCCAGAGACCCTCAGATACATAGAGAGGGGCAGCCTGGCCTCAGGCTTTGGGTCTGCCATTGGAAACTGCTTGAGATGTTCTGCTGCCCAGTGCCCCCATATGACCAGGTGGGCAGAAATCCTTCAGGGAGGCGATGGAAGGAGATGAAGTTTGCTGCTTCTATCCTTCCCAGGAAGGAAGGTGCTTCTCCACTGTAACTAGAGATCTTAAGAGTTGTTTGAATAGGGAAAGCCTGATATCACTGGGGTTGTGGCAATGGTGGACCTTCATGGGATGGCGGGCAGGGAGAAGGAGAGCCTGAAACATTGCAACTCAGAATGCTGAGAATGAAAATATAAGAGAAGAAATTGCCTCTTGGGCCAGTCTGAGCCAATTTCGGAATTGGGCCAGCTAAACTGAGGATATGGTGAATGTAGGGACTTGTGATTGGCTTTGGAAAGCACTTGAACATTATGGATTATGGCTCTCCTACTCCATCAGGCTCCCACCTACAACGGGAGCAGACTTCTGGTAGGACTTGTCCCCATCAGCATCCCCTGCTGGTCCCAAAATGGGCACAGATCTGATCTAGGCTGTTTTTATCACTGTTCCTATGAAGTTGTAATAAATGTGCTGATGATGATGCCCTGCCTCCACTACAGCAGCTCCAGCAGGGAGATACCCTATTGAAAACTTGCAGTTCTCCCACATCAAGATTTGCTGATCTTTTTCAGCACTGTTCACTCCTTTCAAAAAGTCTGAAGGCTGTGAACCCATTGTATTCCTTCCTCACAGCCTGGGAAGCAAAAGCACGTTCACCTTTTTTTTCTATGGATGGAAAAATTGTGCCAGAGGGGAATGTTTGAACATAAGAAAATTTTTTATGGAGTTAAATTGAATGACAATTACAAATCTGTCCTGTGTGCCTGTCTGATTGCATATTTTCTCTGCCCAAAGGGCAAGAAAAGAAAAGTGCAGTGTGTGTTTAGACAACCCATGGAGACATTCCTCGTACGTTGGGTGTTCATTGGAACACTTTAACATGGATGTCTGTGTTTACTCCACCCTGATGGCTGAACTCCTTCAGAACGATGAGTGACCTGGAATTTATAATTACAATAGGTGTAATGCAATTAATCACCACCTCGGAGCTGTCTTCCATTGCTAGCTGCTTGATGATACCAATCCTTTGCAGCAAGTGCAGAAGAACAGCTTGTGTAACGTCGCTCTTTCCAGCTGAGACAAGTTCAGAGGGGTTCCTACCACCCGGACAGGCGCACAGATCCCTTTCTGCTCTTCTGCAGCAGCTGCTTTCTGCAAATGCCAAGGTGTTCCAGATTGCAGACACAGCAATGTATGTGGTGGGCTGCACCAGCTGATGGCACGTCTGCTTGAAGGCCTCCTTAAGCAGCTAGTTTCTGTTTGGCCAGAAGCTTTTACTTCTTGCACGATGGAATGAATAAAAAGACATTCTTTTATTTTATTTTATTTTTTTTATTTTTTTTTTTTAAGGGTATGTGGGGTAAGCATTTCTCCTCCTGATATTGCCAAGATCAATCAGAGACAAAATTAAATGCAGGGGGTAAGGCAGAAGGCAGGTACAGCTTGAAGAAAATCAAAGAAAACAGAGAAAATGCACATATGTGCCCTTTAAACCTCAGTGCTTGTACATGTGGTTAATTATTAATTATTTATATGGTGTATTGATGTATTGATGTATTGATTTGTGCCACCTAGAGGACAAATCCCATTGTTCTGAACCATGTACAAACCTATGGCGGTGCCTGGAGAGCTTACAGACATCTTACAGACATTTTCCAATGAGAGCTCTGAAGAATCTGAGCACTGAGAGTCTCTGCATTCCCCCCGCTATTATGAGCAGGGGCAGAAATAAAGTCCAGAGCTTTTGAATCAGGCAGTTGTTGCACTCAGTGAAATCATTTCAGCTCTGTGTCTTGCAGTTTGTTTCAAAGCAACCCAAATTATTTCATTTTCTTCACTCAAGTGCTCAAAATCATAGTGGAAATATTCCCTGCCATGAAAATGCAGAATTTCAGTCTGGCTTGCAACTTTTTACAACACCTTGTTTTTAAAGGAAATCTGAAATGCTTGGCTTGAAAAAATACTGACATATCCAGCAAACTAAGAAGGTCATAATTTCCATCCAGCTCCATTTGCAATTTTGGTAGGAGATGAGAGACTTCAGTCTGCAGAAGCAGATCATTTAGGGAAGGAAACAACGAAAGTTTTACAAGAAACTTTAATTAAAGTAGGAATAATTAGGTGCTGAGGAATCACAACACAAACTTGGCAAGGGATCAGTCTATGCTAGCAGTGTCTTTTTGCTGTATGTCTCTGCCCTTGGACAGATGTAGCCATAATTTCAGTTACTGGTTAACCATCTTGCCATGAAACTTCAGTTCTTAAAGGCTGGTTTATACTGTAACTATTGGTATCTGGCTGCAAGTCCAGAGGGATCAGAGCTGAGAGCTCCAACCGGATTTTCTGCTTCAGTAGGAATTCTGCAATTCTTGATTCCCACATAAAATGATGTAAAACAACGAGGAATTTTATAGAAGACAGCATTTCCATCAGCAGTATTAGCCCAGGTCTGAGAAATGCGTTAATTCTGAGCAAAAAAATCTGCAATTGCTTTGCCTGAAAGAAACAATTGTGGCATGTTGAACGAGGGTTTCGCTGTGAGAGGTGCATTCAGGCAGAATGGAAGAATAATCAATTTCAGAACTGTAGAAATGAGATACTGCAAACTCGTAATGATGATAATATTTGTTAGTTGTGCTGTTAATTTGTTGGTTTCAGCAAAATCGATGTATTCGTAAAGGATGCTTAACAATATGTCAGTCACTGGCTGTGTTTGTAATTCAGCCAAAATAATGGCGTTCTAATACTTGCTTTATCTCTGTTTCTCCATAGGAAAATGGTGAGGAAGAACGAAGGAAATATTGTCCTTTTTCATGAGCTGGTTGTTTTGTCTATTTGCTGTACGAACTCCCAGGGATCTGAGCTCTCTGCTCCATGCTGCTGAGCTGGGAGCAGCGTTGCCAACCAGCAGTTTTGCTCCGAAGGCCGCACGGTAGTTGTGTCTGACTCTGACACGTTGGCTCTTGGATGCCACAAACCACCTCCATTTTTGCTGGAGATAATGGGAGAAAACAAGACAGATGAGCAGCAAAGGAGGTGAGAGGACTTGGCTCCCCCCCAACCCCGAGAAATTTCTATTTATATCTCAGGGTTTCCCAACAGCAGCCTCTGCTGTGGTTATGGGGTGGTTTTCTCTGGCAGCAGTCACATGGAGATGTGTGCTCCCACTGCTCAGCGGGGTTTGGTCTGATGATGGGGAGCTCAGTCCTGGTGAGCAGGGAGAAGAGGGAATGCTGTCTGGAAGGGCACACAAAGCCTTCTCAACAACTTCGAAGCAAACTCCTATGGAAATCCCTCTCTTTGGCCAAAGGTGACACACAGACACCAGTTCCCATCAATGCAGTCGGCAAGACCACGTTGGGATGGACCAATGGATGACCAAGGGTTGGACAAGCTCAACCACCAAGAGATGGACAAGCACGCTACACCCAGCTCATTAAGATGCCCAAGGTTGCTTTTGTACCTGATCAGGATGGACGCTCAGTGCTCCAATGCAACTCATAACACCATCACCTCGAAATGGACGTAGCCTGAGGAGGCATCTCCACCTCCTGCATGGCCATTCCCTCTCAGTATTCCCTGCAGTGCTGTAGTTTGGCTCAACCACCAAGCAGGTGTGCTTCTCTCTGCCCTCCACAGACCCAAATTTTCATGTCCTTTCATTTCCCTCCCTGTAATAATCCTCATCTGTCTGCCCCTGAATCTGTGAAGTTTGATGTAAATCAATGACCATAAAGAACTGCATATTTGCTGTATTGGCAAGCTGAGTTAAGTCCCGTTGTTTTTCTGCCACAAGTTTTTCTAGGGCCCAAGGCAATCAAAAAACACAAATTCAAAGATTTTAGGCATTTTTTCTGCTAGCATGGTAAGAGCTAGAATGTGCTGCTGTATCAGGGTTTATCAGGTCTCAGAGAAAACCCAGTATGAGCAGAGTTGCCTAAATCAGTGGGAAATGCAAAGAAGGGAGTTAGGCAGCCAGAGGGACTGTTAATTGTGAATGCTCTGCAGAAATTCAGTAAGAGAACTACTCAAGCCTTTCTCATGGCAGTGACATCCTCCCCACTCACCATATCCCATTGCCCTCTGTTCAAACGCTTGCTTTCAAGCCTCTGCTTTAACCACTGTCTAATTAGTTGTACAAAATAGAAGGACAGATATGAAAAAGCCCATCCCAGGTAGCCTCATTGTCTCCTAGCAGGAGTTCTTGTGTTTAATAGCCACAGTATAAAATAGATTATTCACACTTGGCCTCTCCCTCAGATCCTGAAAGTGCTGTAACCACTGGGCTTCGAGTCTACTAGTACACACACATGTCTGAGGGCTCGTCTCTGCTGTCTTTTGTGTGGGTTTGGCAAGCTCTGCACATGCCTAATGGATCAGGTCTTGCCAACAAAACAGAAAGTGGGGAACGCCTAGTTTAAGAGTCTCTCTAGGGCTTGTGCACAAGCAGCTCTTCGTGTCCAAAGAGCTAAATTCAGAGGGGATTAAGTGCTCAAGCCTAGCATGTAGGCATCCTTGAGAAACCTAAAACCTCAGCTGCCACCTAACACTGTGGGTGCTTGAGGTGTCTAGGTGCTGACGTTCCTCCAAAGGAGTGCACACAAAACTGCCTACACCCCGTGCCTTTAAACACTCATATTTCTGCTGCTGCACGGCAGACATCCTACACGAGGTACGTGCACATCCTCATGGCATAAACATTCTCCACCGTACTCAGAATGTTCTCCCCTTTCCTAAAACAACAGAATTGTCCCTGTCATTTTATGACATTTTGGAAAGGAATTCAGCAATACACCGAAGGACACATAGCAGCACAGGGACAAACACTGATAACGTTGGCAAAGTGGCAAACAGGGTGGGTGTTGGATAGTTCCCCAAATGCAGGCTTCCAGCCTCTGCTTAACGATAGGAAAAGTGTAGACAGGATATCCCTGCAGGGTGTCTCTTCAGGAGAGTTGTTGGCAAAATGTGTGTTTCTCTATACGCGGTGAGCAGAGGTGCTTTGAGCCAGAAGGATTTTTTATTGTGTAAGAGAAAGCAAACAAGAAGGAACAAAAGTAGTTTTCATTAGAGAAGAGTGTGTGTGTGCATGTGCTTTTTCTGTAATAGCCTGCAATGAAGTGAACGTAAATTGGCTGCCTGTGTCTCTAAGCAGCAGTCATTTGAAATCCAGCATCGCTATGGATGCTAACAGTCATAACACATACAGAGCTCCATACGTAGCAGCACTCATTTGTTTCCAAATCCCTTCAGACGTTCTCTATCTGAAGGAGCAGGCTGGTGTAGTCAGATATAATGTGAGAGTGGTGGATTGTGGGGACAAAGTGATACCTGCAGTGTCAGGGGCTTTAAGGAGAAGTCGGTCTTGTGAGGGAAGTATGAGGAAACACAGGGAAAGGCGTAGAAGAAGTTGGTGTTTGTAGAGGGCTGTGCATGGTTGGACACCAAACTGAAGGTGATTGGGTGTCATCACTCCTAAAAGCAGATTTCTGGGGGAGAGATGGGAACACCTTCCTCTTTGTAATCCCACCAGAGGGTGAGAGTACTGAAATTCAAAGCCAACTTCACTGGAATGGCATGTGCAGGACATGTTGTTCCTGACACAAGCTTTGTGCTCTGTGAGAGGAAGGGGAAAATTGAGCACAGAGGGGAGCGATGTGTTTTATTGTGCACCAGAATCTGAGCTTTTTCAAGGACCTAAGTCCAGAAAAGCCCAAGAACCTGGACAAGGTGAATCTAACCAAAAGAGTATCCACAGCATCAACACTGGATTGACAGTCAAGAAATGGGGAGCCAGAGGGCCTGGCCTCCAGGTGGCAAAGGAAGAGGGAAAGGCTCCATCAGGAGCAACTCTTGGTCCTGCTGCTAAAGTTAGTTTACTGCTTTAGTTGCTAAAGTTTAATGCTAAAGTTTACCTAGTTGTGAGCCAAGATAGGTGTTGTTAATTGCTTTGGAGGCACAGCTCTGGCTTGGACATCCTCTGTCCTGCTTTTGCAGTTGTTCAAATCATGTTTATAGGCTCAAACCTTTGTAATTCACTGCTAGCAAGGCAGGCTGCTTTGCACAGCTAATTGCATGCAGCAGCAGATGCCTCATTGTGCTATGGTTGTCTGGACATGATGTAGCAAAGCCTTGGTCTAGCTGTGTCAGGGGGATGAGCAGGCCCAGAAAGACTGGGAGGATGATCTGCCCTACGTTAACGGCATAATGACAGAGGTGTCAAAGCTATGAGTCGTGGCAGCCCTGGAAGGCATCTTTTTTATCCACGTGGTGACAGATGCCACCTAAGGAAGGGGTACACGTGCTACAGACTGATGATGTAATACAAATCTCAGTTAACGTTAAGCACTTTGAACAGTAACTATTCAGATGACAGTTCATGGAGAGCACACATTCCTGCAGGCAGAGAAACTGCAACTGGGAGCATACCCCACCCAGCTCTGCAAAGCAACCCTACGGCACAAACCTACTCAGGCACAAGGGCTTGTCTGAGAAGGGCATGTTGCACCCAGCCCTTCAGTGTTTCGTGGTGCTTCGTATCGTGGGCTGTTACAAAAGGGATTGCAACTGGCTCAATGTCACTTCTGGAGGTGCATCCTCCATGGCTGAGTCATGGCAAGATCATGGGGTCATAGAATCATTAGCATTGTAAAAACCATTAAGATCATCCAGTCCAACCATCAACCTATGCCTGTGACTGCTTTAGACCACGACACTCAGTTCAACCTCCACTCATTCCTTGAAAACCTCCAGGAAAAACTCCACCACAAGGCACAACTGCATAGCAGAGAAGGCAAGAAGCTCTAGGGGAGCATGGAGGTGCCCCTCATTCCTTCAAATCTAAGGCTGGGAATAACTGAAGTGAGAACATGAGCCAGGACTTCTGCAGCAATGGAGATGTTATTCTGTTATAGCCTTTGTCAGTGTGGTTTTTGACCATTTTCTGGATGTAGTCATCATTAGGTGGAAGCAGGAGCATTCAACTCCTCAAAAGAGCTTTCTGCAAGCAGAAAAAAGAGCTCCGTCTGATGTACAGTAGTGTTCTGTGGGATACTGACTTGCTTGGCTTGCTTCAGAAATGCATCAGCATGCTTGCAAATCTTAACAGAGTTCCTTCCATTCTCTGTATTTGCGTGGTATTGTGAAAAATCTCAGATTGCACCATTTGAAAAAGGGCTTCTTTGTCTATGTAGCTGTAAGGTAAAGCTAGAAGACTTAAATACAGACTCAGAAAGAAACTAATAATTTCTCCATGATTTTGGAGGAAAAGAGGCAGGGGACACAGCCTGTATAGGCTGCTGAGCTGACTCTTATCTGGAGGACCACCTGTGACTGCTGCAGCAATACTGCCTAGGAATCACCTCCACCGAAAACTCACTCTGTATATTATGAAGCAAGAGTGCTTGCTGGTCTGTCAGATATGAGTACCTTCCAGCCTGCAGCTCTGCTGCTTTGCTGCTGTTGTATGTGCTCCTTGTCTTCACCTTTGCTCGAATCAGCATTCGTGCAGGAGGTCTGGAGCACCACTCCAAGATGATGCTCTGTGGCACGTAGGTGTGAAAACAGACGTGGGATGCTTTCATGGCACCACATTCCTCAACTGCCAAGGAGCAAATACCTCCACGTGGTCAACCCAAAAAAAAAAACCACCCAACAACTGGATTTTAATCCGCTGAGATGCCAGCTTAGTTTGGCCTTGACACAAGTGCTGAGAGAGTATAAAAGCTGCTGGGAGGACAGGCCAGATGGGAGGATTATCTCCATTGTTTTGAGAAAGGCTCTGACTTTACAAACATTCTCTCGCAGAAACGAACAAAAACATCTTTTGCGGTGAGTGCTGCCTGCACTGAGCCTGCTCCCAGCTCCCTGATATGCAAATCTCACCACACGCAGCTGGGCTGGAGCTCTGCAGTTGGCAATCTTTCTGTACCAATTTTGGTAATAGCTTTCTACGTGACTGGGGTATGACTAAGCAGAAAGGAATGAGTGGGGACTCTTTGTTCTTGAAGCTCAGCCGAAATATGAACGTGCTGGCCTGACAAAAGCCAGCTCTTTGCATAAAGAAAATAAAGAGGTCTGGAAGGTTAATGAGTGACATAATCGACTCTCTGGGAAATGCACATAGGCAAGGAATGAAAACAATGTGCAACTGAGATAATTGATTACCCACAGCGCTGCACTCACCTGTGGCAGCATGGGTTCCCCAGCATGCTGACTACACACAGCTCACGGGGCCCAGCAACGAGGCAAGAGCTGCAAAGGGCTCATCTGGTTGTTTCTGAGCTGTCTTCAACCCTTCAGCCCTGTGGCAGGAGCCAGGATCACAGAATGGATGAGGTTAGCATGGATCACTGGGACCATTGAGTCCAATCTCCCTGCTGAGCACGTTGCCCAGTCCCAATATCCAAACTGCTCCTCTTAAAATAGCACAGATGCAATGAAGTGTATGTCAATCACCAGCTTTGATTTGTTGGACCAAAGTTTGACATTAAAAGTCTTAGGTCCAGCTTAAAAGTCAGGCAAATAAAGAGGGTTTCTGTGTATTCTTATACAGACCCTACTGCCAAATAATCACTGAAAGAAATAGTCACTTCTCACAGTATTTGTGTCTTTAGATGTCAACACATGTCTGAGCTTACAACAATAAGAGGTCACAGAGCTTAAGTCCCACCACTGACCTGCCTTAGTGGAGCCTGGAATGTCCCATTGGAGAGCAAGGATGTCCCACCACTGTGGTATACAGTGTTAAACCACTGAGCTGTGGAATGGGCAACGTGAAAGACCTTACAGCTGATTTTGATTCAGGTAATTACAGACCAGTGTAACCGTGTCATCTACCCAACTTCACGCTGCTCGGATGAATAACAGCATGCTTTCCATCTAGATGCTGAGCGAGG